TGCTGTCCTCTGAAGATGCTGGCCACAGAGACTGGCGAAACGTCAGGAATAACAACCTTCAGAACATGGCCAAAGAGACCGAAAAACCCAGAACAACCATTAGATCCCGGCCATGAAAGCCTTCGTGAATATATAAAAACATTGACTGGCATTATATAACAGATACAAGTTATAACCACAAATCCATTGTTGTGGTTGTTATTGTTGTTGTAAATATTTTTGCAGCTTCCAGAGCGCTTTGCAACTTCAACAGAGAACCGCTCAATGTAGGAACAAACAAAATTTTTTAGGTTCTCTGAAGGAGGGAATTTTCTACCCCTTTCAGAAACTAGAACAAATTCCAAAAACCAAGGCTATGGAATGTGCACAAAAACTCACCCTGATGAGAGCTGAGAACTTTGAATTTTCACAGGGGCACCCAATTTTTACAACTAATTCCAGAGCAGAAGCAACAACATTGTCCTTAAAAAAAAAAAAAGAACATTGATGAGATAAAGGTAAACCAGCACAAGCCAAGGTCACAGTGAACTCGGGTGATCCCGAGATAAGCCACAGGACTCTGGAAAGGCAGCTGTGCCCAATTCTTACAACCAGAACCCAAGTTATGAAAAACATTAAGAACCACTGTATCGGATCTGGCTTTCGGAGCTCAATTTTCCATTCCTAAGATGTCCTAGAGATTATACATACAGATAAATTCCTATTGGTTAGGGTTACCCAGTTATTTCCCCCTGCAAAAAGCTGCTTCCTTAAAAAAACAAGAGACTGCATCTTGTGGCAGGGAGCTCCACAGCCCGCCAATGTGGATAAACTCCTTTTGCTCTCTGCCTCTACTGTTCAAGCTGGGTTGTTTCCGTCACTTCCCAAGTGGCATATTTTCTACGCCAAGGTTGGAACTGTTTTCTAAAAACAGTTAAACCCCCCCCCCCCAAAAGGTCCTTTTTATTTTTGGTGAGGATGGAGAGGAGGAAAAACCACCTGCTAAGGAGAATTGGTGGTCCGGTCGAGACACTTCGGTATTCCGACTTTTAACACAGCCAGGCAGATTTCAGAGGAAGTTCAACCCACAACCCAATGTTTAGGATGGGTTATATATTTTTTTACCGAAGGGTGGAAGAGAAGGGGGTGGGTTTTTGTTTTTAAATTTTCCAGCTGGAAATATCAAATCAGCAGAAAAGAACATCTTAGTCGGCTTCCTCCTGGAATCCCCCAAGCACCGTCGCTCCACCAAAAGAGAGCAGGAAAACATGCCTCTATGTCTCCCCCCCTATCTTGAGTGATTTTGGGTGGGGCCTTCTCTCGGCTCCTTTTTCCCAGAAAAAGGCTTGAACGTCAGCCAAAGTGGTGATTAAAACAGGAATCCTCCACCACCACCACCAGGGGCTCAGCATTGTTGTTGTTGTTGGTGAGAGTAAAAGGAATCTTGGGTATGAAGTAGGGCAGTGGTCCCCAACCTTGGGTCTCCAGATGTTCTTGGACTTCAACTCCCAGAAATCCTAGCCAGCCGAGATGGTGGTGAAGGCTTCTGGGAGTTGTAGTCCAAGAACATCTGGAGGCCCAAGGTTGGGGACCCCTGCTATAACAGATACAAGTTTTAAGCAAAAAACCAAAAAAATCTGTTAAAAATGAGCTAAGGGATGTCAGTTGTTCCCTAATATTGCCATTTTTTATAGCTCCAAGGGTCTGTATTTCTGAGATCTGCAACCGCTTATAGCACTGTGTAAAGTTTCTTGATATTGTTCCCAAAGCCCCGGTGACATCGGGGACCCCTGAAATGGGTTTCTTCCAGAGGCGAGATGTTTCGATGGCCAGGTCTCTGTCCTTGGTTAGTTTTTCCAATTCTTTATTTTCAACACTGGCATTGCAATGTCAAGGATACGAACATTTCTTCATTCTATGACTACTAGGTCTGGCGTGTTATGTTCAAGGTATCTCTCCGTTGGGATTCAGAAATCCCACAAGATCTTGACTTCCTCGTTTTCTGACACCTTCTGTACATGATGATCCCACGGGTTTTTGGAGGCTGGCAAGTTATGTTTTTTGCATAATGACCAGTGCACTGGCAGAGTCAACATTTACTATTAGCACTAATTCCTTGGATCTTAGCTTTCATCACGTTGCTTTGGAGTGCTTTTTCTTGTACAGCAAAAATCAAGCCTTTGGTTTCTTTCTTAAGGGTCCCCAGTTTTAGCCATGCCCATGTTGAATTAGGATCATGTGTTCTATCAATATTTCTCAGGTGTTGATGTTGTCGTTTATTTTTCCAGCAGCTTCATTTATTTTCCAATTGTTGTTTCTTATATTGAGCATTTATTTCTGCTGTTTTCCCAAATATTCCTTATTTTCACCGCCTTAAGTAATTTTTCTCTGCTTGTGCCGATATAATCATTTATACTTTTTTACTTCCTCTACTTCCTGTTGTATTTGCAATAATCCACGGCCTCCAATTCTTCATGGGAAATATAATCTGTCTACATCCCTTTTCGGCTGAGTATTATTATTGTTGTTGTTGTTGTTGTTGTTGTTGTTGCTGCTGCTGCTGCTATTGCCTCTTCTGCAAGATCAGGGTTGCCCCCACCCCCTTTAAAAAATTTTCACTCCTAAAGGCCTCTGGAACAGGAGTTTAGACCCAAGACCCTGAAGGACAGAAGCCCCCAAAACAATGCTGAAAACAAAATTTGAGGCGGCCACCGACTCTTAAAAATGACAGGGGATGAGAACAGAGAATCCAATCCATTGTCAGAGTCTCTTCTGTTGTTCTTCTCTGCCGTTAAGTCGGCTCCGACAAAAAGACAACCCGAGTAGCATTTTCAACTTATGTATGATCGTTGAGGAAAGTTCTTCCCACTTCCAGGGTGTCCATGGCCGAGCAGGGATTCGAACTCAGTTCTCCCTGACACTCCATACAAGTATCTTATACTTTCCAGTACCTAGCTAGGCTAACCTGGCTGTAAGGTCACCAGTTAACCAGTTTTAAAGCAGGGTTGTAAAAATCAGCATTATAACAACTGATGGCTCGGTCTTGCTTTACTCTTTGTGCAATGGGGCTGGAAGGTAGTTTTACGGTACATACAGTCGTTTCTCACACTTTCTTTACCTCTCGACATGGCAGGCCCGCCCAAGAATCTTGTGGCACTCCGCAGACTGACCTTTGCACACATGCGGGCGGGACAGAATGTGCAAAAATGCAGATGATACCAGCAGGGTGAGGGTCTTAACGGTGGCCATTAAAGGTTGCTTCATTGCCCGTGGAGATGGAGCATCCATCTGTTCTACTTGGGGGTCTCAATGGCATTCACCTGAAGACAACTTGAAACATGACAGTGTTCCAGATACCACAGGAGTCTTTATCTACTGCAACGGAGGGCAGATTTAACAAATCAGTGTGTTTCTAAGTTCTGACATTTGAATTTCTTTAAGGAAAAGGCGCCCTCAAAATTGAAAGAATACGAACAGCAAGGACCTCGCGGAAAATTGGTGAAAATTAAATCTATATGTTCATCTGTTCTGTCTGTCTCTGAATCTTGCAAACTTCTGAGGAGGCAGTGTCTTGCTTGTGAATCCAGGTAACAGAAGGTGCATTTCTGCCATGGAGACATAGATTTCGATTAAGGCATGCACGCAGTTCTTCCAGCGCTCTGCCACCAAGTTGGCCAAAGGCTGGCGGGTTTTCTGCCCGACACTTCTGTGCAAAAATCGCCAGCGTGTAGAGCGATTCAAAAGCGACCCCTCGTTCGGGACTGATCAGTGTTTCTGAGGCACATCATGGGTATTCGAAGCGGGGCCAAAATCACCGAAAGAGAGGTGGGGTTGTCATCTGTTGGCCAAGTCAAGCTCTTTCTCGAACTCAGCCTCCCCTGAAATGAACAGGTGGTGGGGAAACTCTTGGGGATTGCACAGCTCCTTGCCCCACTTCCAGCAGGAATCGAACCCAGAACCATCTGCCTATGAAATGCCTCCTCATCGACAGGGGGTAAGCTCTTCTCCTGAGTCCGTTCAACCCGGGACACGAACTAAGCAGGTCCAGCTTCCCAAAAACAAACAAAAACAAAACAAAACAAAAAGCACACACACACACACAACAAAACACCACAGATCCATATAGCTACAATCAGGGTCGGAAGGCTGTTTCGGCGACTGAGGAAAAGCAGTTAAGGGAAGCTTGGAGGCATTCCCTAAACGTGCAGACGACCACACCAGAGGACAAAGCGATCCTGGACTCTCCAGGTTTGTGGTTGAACTAGCACGCAAGCGGTCCAGAACCCCTGGTGGAATGGGGTTGCGCTCCTACCACCCGCCCACACATGAAGAAATGAAGAACAATAAAGGAACGGGTCGGCTCAGGAGCCGTGGAGTGGGCACGCAAAGACTCGGAGGGCTGAGTTTTGGTTATCCCGGAAATTTTTTTAAAAAAAAATATCCACAGGGCTTCCGCAGCTGCTTTGCTGGGCAAGAACCCCATGGCGGGTGAAGCTCAGCGCGCACGGGCAAGGGGAGAGGAGGAAAAAAGCAGGGTGGAGGAAAAGGGGGAGTCAAACCGAACCGTCTTGGCCTCCTCCACTCTTGGCCCGGGTGCCAAAGAAAAACAGGGAGGGGAGAGCCAGCTAGGACATATTTGCATCCACCCCACCCTCCCTCTCCCTCTCCCTCTCTCTCCTTCTGCCAGGGTGGCTGTTCTCAAATCCACCAAGTGGGCAAAAAAGGCCTCTTTCGCAAACCTCCGATCTTCCCGGCGCGGCACGCGGAAAGGGGGACCCCACCCTGGTCCCCTCCCCTTCTCCGGGAAGGGCAAGATGGGGCGCGCACACATACCCCGCAGGTGTTCACTCGGGTTCACCTGCCACGATCTTCTCCTCTCGGGGTTCACCCAGTGTCTCTCCCCCCCCTTTCTTCCTCTCCCAGACTGATCCTCCCCAAGGCCTTTGCAGCACCAAGCAAAAGAAACAGATGCTGGATCAGAGCCCACCCGCCGAGAAGGACGGAGCAGCTGGATTTGGAGAAGAACACCACCCCAAAACTCTGGAACAATTTGCAAGAAAGCTGAACGCAGCCCTGTCTTAGACTCCGGCTAACTTTTTCTTAACTTGCTGGGTGCTAAATTTGACTTTTCATTTCAATGATTCTCGCTCCTCCTGTACCTCTACAAGTGCCCCTTCTATGTGTGGATCGCTGATTATTTACACGGCGGAAGGACGAACGGGCACACAGTTTACCTGAAGCAAAAGGGTCAACATCTTATTATGGGAATAGCAGTTCACAAAGCTTAAGGGAAAAACATTTGCCAGTTTCTTGATGGGGAATGACAACTCCCATCACCCACAAATCGAAAGCCCCCTCTGGAAACCACCGGCTTGAAGAACACCGCTTCCTCCAGAGGTTGGCAGGGCACAGGTTTCATCATCCTCTCCCAACAGCCATAGAGTCCCATCATGAAAACAGCACCGGGAAACTCCCTCGATACCCATATAAAACCAGCATTCCCCAATTCCTTTTGGGGTGGCCTACATGCAGTTGAGGAAAATAAAACAACGGCTCATGGGGCATTTAAGACTAACAGATTTAATCTGTGCAAGCTGTAGTGGACACATAGGTCGCTTCTTCAGCTGTACAAATTTAACTTCAGCACTTGACGGTCAGATTTTTGGACAGACCAAGAACCTTAACACAGCTCCCAATGCATATCAAGAGCTTTGATTTTACCGTGCCACCACATCGGCCAGATTCTTCCCTCCCCCTCGCCGGCAGGGGCTTCCAGCCTTTCCCCCCAGCTGCAGGAAAGAGAGGGTTTTTCACGTTCACAGAGATCTTTTCCAAGACAAGGAGATCGGTGTCTCAGAGTTTTAAAAAAAAAGTTAGAGAATTCCCCCACATGCTCTGCAGACATCCCGTACGGTCCCACACGCCTCCTCTTCTGCAATTCAACAAAAAACGCTCAACCTGGAGGGCATCTTGACCTCAAGCAGGTGCTCCCTAAGCCTGACAAGAGTCTGGCTCCAGGCCTTTGTACAGATTTGAACCCTAGACCCCTAAAACTCAGCTTCAGGCATCCCCTCTCCAGACCCCATGCTTCCTACTGCTTCCTCAAATACCTTTACACTTGGGGTGAGAGAAGCATGGTCTTACAGATCACGTTTGTTCTGCAGCCCCCAGCGAGGGTTCCCAAGGCTCATGGGAGTTGCAGTCGCACCAAAGGTGCACAGTGCTCATCCTTCTTTTTTTACACTTTACCATGGAGAGGAGGCAGAACCTTTGGCCCCACACTCCCAGATGTCCTGGAATCACTTCTCAGAGACCGCCGCCAGGAGAGCTGATGGACGTGGATGATGGGAGCAGTAGTCCGCAAGATCCGGAGGTCTCTCAAGTCACCAGCCTCTCCCATCTTTCCCCCCTTCTTTTAACAAATGCTATCACAACACACATACAAGCTCATGACTCGAAAAAGTCTTGCTTTCCCCCCTTCCCTGCATACTTCGGGTCCCCCAACAGCCTTTTGTACATGGCTCTGAATCACGATAAACCCTCTCAGTAGGGACTTGGAAAGGAAGGAGGGGGGGCTGCCGCCTCAAACCCCAAATAACCCCACCACCCATCAAAGCAGGCAGTAGAAATTAAAATAGGCTCTATTTTAAAAATGTGTACAAAGCAGGTTTTTCAGTTCCTGGTTGTGAATAGGTCTTTCTCCAATAAGAAGAAGAATAAACAGTGTTACTCACAAAGGCTTGCGATCTCCCTGTAAGGTAGGCTGGCATCTTGGTCCCCACTTGACAGCTTGCAGTGCTACGGTGGCCTCATCCTGCCCACCACGCACAGAGCCATCTCCCCTAAGATTTCCCAATTTCCTATTTTGGTTGCCTGCAAAGGGGCTTCTCCAGCCTGGCTTCCTTGCGTCAGGTCGGCTGCATCATCGCCACTGACGGAAAGGCCACAGAGGTCACCTGAGGTCATCCCAGGGAAGATTCAAACCCACAGCCTTCTGGATTCACTGATCCATTACTTATCCCACTAAGCTGGGCAGCTCCGCGCACAGGCAGTAATTAACGGGGCATAAACCCCATTTCAGGAGGTGGAAAGGACAGCCAATGTTCACAAATAAAAGAAAATTTTGCAGGGTGACCCAGGGCTGGGAACGATCACTCGCTTTTTCTTGTTGCCTCACCCGCCTCGCAGGGTGGGCGGATCGACACTGTAATGGTGGTGGACGCAGATGGAAGTCGTCTAACTAACGCTCACCGGGTTCGGCGAGAAATAAAATATCTAAAACAAGCTGGAGATGAAGCAAATGTTTGCTTGTTCGCAACTCAAGCCGCTGACTTTGCAACCTGCAAATTCAGATTCGGTGCAAAGGGGCCGTCTCAAGTTCCTAGCCCTCAGTGTTGCTGTAATGTGGATTAAATCACAGAAAAGGAGAGGGGGGGAATTCAGCTTTTCTGAATGACAAAACTTTTCTGCTGGTTTACAAAGGCAGCAATCCCGTGTTTATAAACCTCATTTGCAGGAGTTTTCAAACAGGATCCTGGGCTAGCCAGTTTTTCCCCATAATAAACAAGCGGAGGCAAATAAAATCAAGAAACGTCTCAGGGGCATCATTAAAAATATCAAACACCACCACCCCCATTTCAGTGTCGCTTCTGCGAATGGCAATCTCTGTTTTCTGTCGCTGAAATACCCTGACAAGCAAGCAATAATACTGACTTTCATTTTTTTAAAAATGAGCAACTTTAAAATTCATTTCAACACATCATGGAAGGGCAATTTAATCCTCATAACAGAGGAGCCTGCCTTCTACTTTGGTGCATGCAGTGCAATTTTCAGACCATCCTGCAAAATTTAGGTATTTTAGGGGATTGGGTTTTGCATGTTTTCTGGGAGGAACAATGATTCAAACTAAGGACTCTTGCTGGCGTGCGGGTTCGCTCCTTTCCCCCCCATTCCCAGGTTTAAAAAAATAAATAAGAGAGCTTTTTAATATATATTGCATATATATATAAATATATATTGCACTTTCCCCCATTTCTCCCTCTTCTTTTACCCCAGAATCCAGCACCCAGGTAGGATCTGGCCTCTGAATACTGTATTTCCCCCCCCCAAAAAAAAACCGAGCTCTCCATTTCCTCCATCTAGAAAAAGTTATCAGACTTTCCTCAAATTAAGTTTCTGTTTGACATTCCGGCCTCCCTGTCCGAAATCCCCCTTTCTGAGGGGCCCCCTCGCTTAAAATAGGATCCAAAGTCCCCTCAGGGAAGCGAAAGAAGACCCCAGAGGGTCAAGCCGGCCTTTTTGGCTCTTTAAAGACTCCAAAGGGCGAGGCTGGGAGGGCAGGCGAAACCC